CAAATAATCCGATTAGGATTTGCATTTAATAATACTAAATCAGAAAAAATAAACTCACCAATTCAAACCAAAGTAAAATAATGCTTATAAAAATGAAGAAGATAAACCATTGAGTACTTGTGGCACTTTTAAAACCATCTACTATGTTATATTCATTAATCGAGATATAAGCTACTGCAAAAAAAGGTAATAAAATGAAAAAATATCTACACAGTTGAAAAAATCAAACATATAAGTTATCTTGTAAAAATAAAGCTGATGAATTTCAATTACAAAATGATAATATGCCAAATAGTAAAATAATATCATAAATAATAACATAATTATATGAAAATAGCCACAGATCTCTAAATGAGCAACATACGCCCATAAAATAATAAAATATACAAACAAGTAGATTGCATAAATATGTAATGTATTACGCCAATAATTTTTAGAACAATGCCACATCCAGTTCATGATGGTTTCCATTGAAGGATTGTTATAAAATGAACCTTCATCTTCTATATGTCTTAAAACCCGAATAAAAGGGCTATAGTTCTCAATTTTAATAGACGTAAATCTTCCAGGCAAAAAAAGTCTTGTAATAACATTCATAAATTTATTTTCTGGATCCGGTGTTTCTCTATTTGTTACGAAATCAATCAAAGGCACCATTCTAATATCAGAACTTTCAAAATCGCTATAAATTTAAAAAAATTATTAAGTGTGCACAATTTCATTTAAATTAGAAAATACAATATTACTTGATCTCTATAAGATCTAAATCGGGCATCACGAGGAACGAGTTGTGTTATAGGTATAAACACTTTTAAAGAATTTTCAGAAGGTTTCTTAACTTCGTAAAACTTCAAACTGGACAAATCAAGTTTTTTTTTTACCAAAACAAGGCTTTAATAAAAACTCTTGAGCATACCATCCTGGTTTGGATTAATTAAATTGTAAAAATTACATGATAAAATTGAAATTTAGTAAATATTAATTACAAACCGAGTTTTCTTTCATATAATGCTGGTATGATTTCAGACACGACGTTCATCCACCCAATGTTATCCATCGCATTGTTTGAATAATATTCGAGAAAATATGTAAGCATCATCACATTGATATTCGATTCTGAGCATAGTAAGTAAGTATAAAAAAATATATTCATATGAACGTACTTTGCTACATATTTCAATCTTTAAATAACTAACCTTCATCAGGTAAAATTTCTTTTAATGAAACTTGCCATGAATGAAGAGGGCGCTCTTGTTCAGTTTTTTTATAACTTAAAGAGCGTTTCAAAATTATGTTTTTTGATTTTTTTTAATTTAGTTTCAATGTCAATTTCACTATTACTTTCGTTATCACTTATTGAGATCGCAGAAAGGATTCGTGAAATACATTTTTCAGAATCATTAGCTGATTCATTTCTGTGGCTAAACAAAATGCGGGTTATGAGTAAAAAATCTTTTAGAATAATAAATTTGCTCATTATCTTATAGCGAAAATCTATTAGCCTCCAAGAATTTGGGTATAAAGTAATAAATCTTGTAATGATATTTCGTGTTTGTTGAACTATATCGTTATATTTTATTTGTTTATTGCCTATAGCAAGATTAACAGATTTACTTTGGTTTGAATTGGTGAGTTTATTTTTTCTGATTTAGTATTATTAAATGCAAATCCTAATCGGATTATTTG